AAAATTATATAAGAAAATCGTTCACCTGTTATTTTTGCAAGTTATTGTGTATTGACTGCCGGTATATACATTCTTGACGTCACAATGCCCTTTTTAAAAAAAAAAAAAAAATTCATTTTTCACAGAGTATTTTGAGAGGGCTAAACTGAATTAAATAAGAAACTATTCAAAGAACGTTAAACTAAGCATTTTTGAATTCATATTCAGGTAAATTGCTTTGACAAGGGCCATTATCACACGCATGAAAAAAAAATGATGCCAAAATATCTTTAAGAAGACGAGGAAAAAATTCAAGAATCAGATCCGAAGTCTCCATGATGGAATGAATGATTCCGGAGGATGTCATGGCCAATATCACATTTAGACATTTCTTTAAAAAAAAATGAAATCAACGCCAATAGATCTTTTTGGATGTGACTAATATCTTCAGCGATATAGGTTTCAATGGGTTTCTTCCACCCAAACTACACAGCTATCGTTTGTATTTTGAGATAACTTCTCCATTACAATACCTGAATCGTTTCTTGCATTCAGAATGTAATGTAAATATCTGACATAAGATTTCTTTAATTTAATGAGTTGTTTCTGTAAATATATATGTATACTATGGATGCTTTCATGAAGTTTTAATGAATATTCTTCGCCTCTTATTCGTAGTGATTTGTAACTCCATTTTGCAGTGGTTAACGAATTGATCCAGAGAGAATTGTGAGATAGCGTAATCCAAAGATACAATTATTGCATTTATTTTCAACGTTTCCATAAGGATGTTTTTGTTTCGCTCTATCGCCTCTAAAGAAGTTTTATTTGGCATCTACATTTTAGCTAAACAATTTTCGGTTTCATCATTCCGATTCTCAACCACTCAATCCGTTTCTATACCAAGGGCGCTTGTTTGGTTAATCTTAGAATTTGATAATAATACGTTTCCACAAAGATAGCAGAACGTTTAAGATGAGAAATCCATTTAGCGTATTCAGAAAAAAATATTGCCTTGTCTTCTCTACATGACTTGTTATTATTACCAAATACCTCGGATACAAAATCGGGAGAGGCTATTTTCACTTGTTAAAAAAAGCATAGAAAAAATAACAGCACATTTACTCAAATATCTGCGTTTATTAAATATAACGTTTTCAGTAATAAATATTTTTTTTTAATTAATGTTAATTATATTTTCTTTCTAAACACCTAATACGCCACGTATTTAAAAGTCAATATTAGTAGATATTTTTCTTATGATATACAGTGTATCAGTATACTAACTTTCTACGCTATTTCAAATTATTTTATCTCTTGTCTATCTTTTCAGATATGTTCTCTATTACGATTTCTGAGAAAGTCCATCTGCAAATTACTACAGTATTTCCTCAATTGACCACTAAATACGACTTTTTCTCTCTCCCACGCCCCGCGCTCACACTTATATACTCCAATGAAGGGTCAAAATTAGCCAACCCAACCTCAGAAATCAGTATTATTAAATGCCTTCTAGCAGTCAACCGACCAATTCCCTTGTTTATCATTTTAGTAGCCCATTTAATGGATCTCTCAGTTCATATATGTCTGGTATATACTGACTATAATAATTCACCATCCTTAAAAATGATTGTAATGTAGAAATGTTTGAAAGAGACTGCATCTCCTTTATAGCTCTTATCTTTTCATATAAAAAAATATGGTCAAATATTTAACTTGTAACATAAATAATTCGCATTCAGCCAGTTTACAACCGACGATTTGTTCAAACATTCTTCTTATATGTGGCTTTTGTATTCGCCTACAGTTTTGCTTCGAAACATATCATCTAACTACCTTGCTGAGAAATCAAGTCCGGCTAACATAGTATCTATAATTTCCTGGGAAATCCCGGAGCTACATTTAGACTAAACGGGAGTCTATTAAAAGCAAATAACAATATGCGTCTTGATGGTAAGAAATTACTTACATTCTACTTCCATTTGAACGTGAAGATACTTATCTTCGAGAATATAGTTCCTCCGTTTAATTTTGTAAATACCTCTTCGACCGTTGTTTACGTGTAGTTATGTTCTTCTAGGGCTTTATTCAAACACGCGGAAAAACATGTGGACACTCAGAATTTACCAATTATTTTTTTTTACAGTTAAATGGGCGCTGCCCCACTTGAACAGTCGACTGGGGAAATAACTGCCATATTTTTTTAGTTTGGCCAGTTACTTGTTCACTGTCTCAAATTCAACAAAGAGAACGGCTCTTTTTGGTTTAAAAGTCGGTCTCACATTTTCTTTTACCTATAAAGATGCCTATATTTTCGTGCACAGACCACATTCCTCTGTAAACAACTCTTTATACTTTTATATAAATTATTTAAACTCTAAATATTCACATTTGAGTATCTGACGGACTCACAAAGAGCATTGATTGATTCATTTCATAAATTAAACAAGTGTAGCCAATCAGCACCTAATATATTTAACTATTTTCCTTTTGTTATTTATGCTACTGCGTTAACTATTTTGTTTCGGAAAACAACTTCGCAATTTGATTCACATATAATTCTAGTTTCTTCCCCGTGACATTACGCGCTTCGAGGTAACTTTTATCAATTTCAGTGTACCTATTTTTTTACAAGTCTCTTCTGAAATTATAGTTATATCAGAGCTCGTATTTAATTGTAGATTCACGGATTTGTTGTTCATGAGACGCGAATAAATATTCTATTCAAAGTATTTTTTATGTAGCGAGACTTATTTTCACAAAATCTATTCCTTTACTACGTTCTTTCTTTTAATTTTCCACCTGAAGCAATATTTTTTGTGTCCAAGTTTCTCAAAATAGAATCATTTTTTTCTTTTTTTGTTTTAATCGGGAAAATCTCAGGGAAATGTATTCCCCGACAAACTTAATAGGGATTGCCGTATTAAGTTCTGCTTTATTATTACCACGACCTCCATTTTCATTTCTTCAGCTTCTTCAATCTGACACATATCATGTTTTAAATTTATTAACCTTTAATTCCTCAGCCATTATCTGTAAATATATCGCTAGGTCCTGTTCAAGTTTTGTTAACATTCTTCAGGAAATCATAGGTCCGGCGCTCTGGTGTTTCCTTCTGACCCTAACGTCCCCCATATTTCGTTTTCCACAACTGCACTTCGTCTCTAGGCAAAAATGGGAGAGTTGACCAGTCCCTCCGCACTTCTAGCACGTTAGCCTGCGGCCTGTCAGGATGACCGGCAATTTCCAGCCATTTTCGCCCGAACAGTTTGGGATAGACAGGAACATGATCTTGAGACACCATCCACGAAGAGTATATCGCATGAGGTACCCAATATCTGACCGTACTGAGAAAGGAAAGCGGCATGTTTTTCCACAATAACTAGAGGAGGGACCTCGAATATCGCTAGGTTTTTTTTTTTTGGTCCTATGCTACCCTTCGTAATCTGTTCTTAAAATAAGGTCTTTTGGAATAAATTCTTGACTGACAGACTTTTGCACTCTACGGGCGTATGTAGTAATACGACCCACATAAAAAGCCCGACTATTCTTTGTGGGTCAACGTTCTGTGACTCCAGTGATTTCACCACTGTCTTTTGTGGAGCGACTAATGTGGCGAAGACGCTTGTCCACCAGGAAGACTGACACTATTTATTTTTCATTTTTTTTTCAATTCTTGGTAATTTTCGAAGAGTCCACCTTCTATTATAAGGTGAGCGTAACTCTTGGCTCGCTCCAAGAACTCTGCAAAATTGATAATGCCACTCTTTGTGTCCGAAGTTTGGACATTATTGGCCTCCATTATATCAGTCTTTTTGGATTCCTTTAATAACGGGTACACCAAAACGTCGTTTATGTCCAGCGGATCAGTTTTACTGGACGATCCGAAAAAGGGTTTTTAGACAAAGCGACATTTATCGGCCATATTGATTTTTTTTAAACGGCAAGGCTAGCAGGTTGTGTATTTTTTCCTTGTGTAAATTACATAGAAAGAAATAAGGAGAAGGACTGGGAGAAAGATAAAGCCAGCAGGAAATATAAAAATTCAAAACTAAAATGTAAAGAAAAATCAATAAGGAAAAATGAATAATAGAAAAATTACCAATGCAAAATCCAAAGGGATGAGATAAGGAAACAAAAATACCCAAAAATTATCGAAAAAGAATAAACCGATTTCGAATAAAATCTTTGCCCAAAGATTAACAAATATATAAAATTTGTCGAAAGAAAAGTAAAATTCACCGACGGATGTAAACAAAAAAAAAAAAAAAATAAAAGTCACACAAACGACGAAATGAAAAGAATGAAAAGGATTTAAACTAAAAAAATAAAGAAATAAAAAAAAAAACACTTTAAGAAATAAAAAAAAAAAAAAACAATAGTCTGAGGAAACTAGTATTTAAACAAAATAAAATAAATGCCGGTCGAAAGCCGAGGATGGAAAACAAAACAAATTCAACACCTTACAAGAAAAAGAAAATTCAAAACGTCAAACAATTAAAAATAAACCGATTTTCTGCAAATAGAGGATCGGAATTAAAAATATAAAAAAAAAAAACCAAAAAAACAAACTATAAACTATGCAAAAAAACAAAACAAAAAAAAACAGTTTTCTGGTAAAATTTTACGTTAGACGGGGAAAAAATTACAAATGGCGGCCGAATAGAAAACTGAAATATATGATTGAAAAAGAAAGAAAAGTTAAAATTTCGATTCAAACAAAAAGAATAAATGAAAAATAAGTGAAAAAAAAAAATTAAAGCATTTGTTTCAAAAACTCCTTTCATTTGAAAACGTTCCGGTTTTAAAATGTCAAAGCACGTCAGGAACGAGACTAGAAAGTGATCCCTGTCCCGCGTTCCGTTTTCATATTTATACACGTCGCTCAGGGTATAACAGATTCTTAACTTCTGCACGAGTATTTGCGCGAAAGTAAAAATAATGAACCCAACAGGACATGGAATTCGGATTCCAATTAAAATTTCGGAACCTTTATCCATTATACTTACGCACAACCAAGTTTGCAGCAGCTGGTATTTCCAAGCAATCACCCATCCAGTTACTGACCAGGCTCAAAGTTGTTTAAATTCTGTGATCGTACGGGATCTAGTGTTTCAACGTTTTGTGGCCATAAGCCGAGTTAAAAGTAATAAAGGGCGGATGTGGTTGATGGATGTAAGAATCTACAGTGTAACCCGGATATAAGAAAGTTGTCGGGACCGGAGAAGAAGGCTCTTATATCCGGGTTTCTCTTATATCCGGGTTTGGTCTATTTTGTTTAGGTAAGTATGGGAACACTTTGGGACCAGAGAAAATCTTTCTTATATCCGGGTTTCTCTTATATCCGGGTTACACTGCATATGGAAATATGCATGAGAAAGAAAGAAACCCAAATATAACTGTAATCAATATAAGAAAACCACCGGGTGGGTGAATGTAATTATGAAAGTCTTTTATCGATAAAAGTATGGAAACACCTAGTTGAAAGAATGAATAAAAAAATGATTGAAAGTATAAGTTGAAATTATAAAATACATCTTTTAAATAAAGAGTGAGGATATTTAGAGCCTGAAAGATGAAAAAATCAAAAAAGGGGCTAAAAATGAAATACAATATAGAGAAAAAAAGAATGACGAAAAGACTTCATATGCAAAATTAACTAAGAATAACATCCTAATGAAGGTTGAAACAGTGAGGGAACATGTGTCGAAAGAAAGAATAAAGACAAAGATGTAAGTAAGAAAAAGCTAAATTAAAAGTACGGAATTTAAGTGAAAGAGTTTATTGAGGAAACGAAAAAAATACAAATGAAAAATGAAGCAAGAAGTAAGGCGAGAGTAAAGAAAAGCATTGGCATTCAAATCAACATATTCGATCTCCGCTTTCAACATGTCCGATGAGAGATGTGAAATTTATATCGATGTAATCACACTAGAGAACAAACACAGTGACCCGCACTGCACGAATTTCGTGACCATCAAGTAACGTGGTGAATAATATTTGATGGATTGAGTCCGAAAGGAAACTATGATGCATTTGTTAAATTTCACCGCTCAGGGAAGAGCAAAGAAAAGACGGTGTTGATGGGAAAGAGTGAACAGTGAACGAAAGGCCGTGAATGAAGAAGTGGGTATACATTTATATTTAAACCTTCTATAATAAATAATTTCGTCGACATATGAAATCTGTATTATAGTTCTTGCATTCATTTGGAATATTTTGTACACTGTCGTTTCCTAAGGATTATCAAGAATCACGAGGGACAAGAAAATATAAAAATGAGAAACAAATGATAATCAATCAATAAATCTCATCAAATATTCTCATTCCTGCCAAAAATTGTCCATTCTACTGTCAGAAGCAATTATGTCACGAAGACAGACGAATGCTTGATAACATATAACATCAATTCAACAAGAAGTCTTTTGCGCCCGCACAGTCATTCCAGATATGGCAAAAATTCCCAGCTTAAAACAAATATAAGCTTTAAAATATATTTTTGAACTGCCTTGTCCTTCCACGACGTAGACGATCTAGACTCTTCACAATTTATTTTTTTATATTATCTGTAAACAGACGATCTAGACTCTCCACAATTTATTTTTTATATTATCTGTTGTTAGGCTGGTTTCTCCTTTAGAGTTCACGATGTTCTTACTTTTAGACAAGTAACCAGACCAAACCAGATAAAATGTACCTCATTGTTGCCAACAGAAATTTATTTGTATGAAAGTAAATGCAACAGGCTAAGCCAGAATTTAAATTTTCAATTTCCGCACTGATAACATTTACACTAAACGCATACCTTAAATATTTGGATCATACAAACATTTGCCATTAATTACACCAACAATGGTTGGCATGTCATAAAATACAAAAGACAACTGTCTATAATCATAGACAGTTGTCTGTTTATTATCATTGACTAAGTTCGTCAGGATCGAGCTTATTACTTAACAGTAATAATCCTCAAAACGAAATTGTTAACAATTACCTCAAGTCGAGGCCTCCATAATATTTGTTTAGTTTTGTTTTAATTTCCGCTTTCATTAAACTCTTTTTATTTTAGATTTTTCTTTAAGAAATTTTAATTTTTCGAAACAAGTATAGTCTTGTGTCTTTAAGTTGTTGTCAAACACTAATTATTCTTCGGTAGGATGATAAACTAAATCTGGTAGGAAAGCCTACGGTCGTGATAGTGGAGCTTTTGAGGGCCATGAAAGCACTTTTTTAATTACTGCTATTCCCAGGTCCACAATAAGACGGAATGGTAACTCCCGTTAGAGTCCCAGCTATGGGCAAATAGTGGCACCCACAAAACGAAAAGAAAACATTATGAAAATATAAAAACACATTTTTATTGTAAAAAATATATGTTTTGTATAAAAATGACCAACAATATACTTTATCTCTAGTTGAAGACATACAATTGTGTACAAAATATTTAGATTTCGGCATGTAATAACCCATCCAGGTTTACAAGCAACATCAAAGAAATTACATGACGATAAAGCATATAATATGATACAATTTCTTTTTTTTTTTTCCATCAGGGAATCGACATTTTGAACCAACGAGTGTCTCTATTATTTCATTCAATGAGAAATGATTATGTGTAATAAAATTGAAATGAATCAGAGTAACTCATATACCACAGAGACATGTTTGTTTTAATAAATTTAAATCACGGATAATACATCAAACAGAGGCACACAAGAAAAATAACGTAATAACTATTATATAGTCAAAAACTATGAATTGGACAGAATTGCTATATCGAAATCCTCTATACTTTGGCAACAGCTTTAATTTTGAAACCTTATGCAGTGTGGTAACGATTGTTAGGAGAGAGGCTGCACCTAAAGTTTATATTCAGGCAACCTAGTTTAAAAACTATGAGAAAGAAATCTTAACAGAAAACACAGATACAAATCTAGATATAAAATAACTGATTTTATGTATCAGTTAATAAATGCTTAAATATTTTAAAAAGTATCTAAAAATCTGTTATGGGACCTTACCCATAATAACATAATGAGACTATTCCATACGTAATAAATAATGTGCCTCAAGAGGAAGCAGGGAGTTCAGTCCGAAGTCGGGCGAACGGCTGTCCGGCTGATCGGTTGAACTCTCCGCCTTCGGGCGGGGAGGAACCCGAACGAGGCTACGCTGAAGAGCGGAGTCTCTTTCAGGGTGGTAAACCGACCCTGAACCCATTTATACGTGTTCAAAGTGCATATTTTTGGCCGGAGGTACCAAGTTAAACCGGCCTTGTGCCACATTATGCCCTCGTGGGGGGGTGACTAAATACAGTTCAGTCTGAAGTCTGGCGTGAGGTCCTTCAGAAGTCTGTCAGTCAGTCAGAGCGAGCGAGTCAGTCAGTCGCGTTCAGACGATTACTACTAAACCTGATCGTTCGTACTAACACTTTCTACTTCTCTGTATATATTCCTGTTTGTAATATATCTGTGTTATTCCATATCCGTATTCGAGTTCTTCTTTATTGGTTCTACCTTGGGCTGTCAGCGTGGTACAAGGAACCGGATCATAACAAAATCTAAGAGAAGCCTCTCCCTACCAATAGCTAAAATAATAAACATATGTCGACTCATTACCAATCAATGTCATTCTATATTTAACGTTCTTTTCAATAAAGCCAAATTTAGATAACCAATGGGATCCTATCTTAGTGGAATAATGGCATGTATTTTCTTAGATTTCTCGAATCTGGTTATTTCTAAAATATTTTACCTATACATCTATTACAATTCCAATATATTCATGATGCTATTTTTAGACATCCCCATGGTACTGATTAACTGATCTTTTTGATAAACTGAAGAAAGTCGAACATACAATAGAATTTACATGTGAAATGGAAACAAACAATACTTTAACTTTCTTAGATATCATGCACCCAGTATTAACAGTACTTGAAAACTTAATATCCAACCAAATTCAACTAATACAAACAATATCATAAATTTCTATTATCATTTGAACAACAAAATAGAATCCGAAATAATCATCGTATCCTACTTAAGATCATGCATAATTTGAAGCCCTAAGTTTTTACATGAAGAGGAGAAATGCATCGAAAACACATTCAAGTTGCATCAGTGCACTACCTACTTCATATTCAATGAAATAGATAAAGCACATAAAATAATTCAATGTAGAAAAGCGGTCCTTAATGATAACACAATGAGTCAAAGTTTATTGTTCTAGCCATCAAAATTATCCCAAAAATTGAAAATAATTTACCTAAACTCAACATAATTTGTCACTAAAACAAGACAAAAAACTATTTAATACAAAACAAAACAATAATCTAAAACTTGAAGGAAGAATTTACTTTATTACTTGTAGTTATATCCACAAACAATACATCGGAGAAAACAAGGAATTTAAATCTAACATTATAGGAACACAAAATAGATCTTTTAAAACCAACGCATTAAGTGATTTACAAGCTCACCATAGAGACTGAACAAATAATGATTTAAAACGTTCTACTCTAAATAAAAGAGGAAACAATTTACTAAGAGAAAAATGTGTATAAAGTTATTTAATCGCTAGATCATCCACAATAAATTCGCGTCCATGTTCTTAAAATATTTCATCATTTTTGGCAGATATTCTATTATCTCAATGTCAAATATTTAATAACAAAAGCGATGGAAATATATACAAAAATGAAAAGAACCTAAATTTAATCTGGTAGATTATATACACAATATATATATATATATATATATATATATATATATATATATATATATATATTATTCAAAGCTATTTTTAGGTACAAAATTTAATGACAGAAATAAAAGTGTGGAGCTTAATATTACTAGACATATTAAAAAACAAACGGGCGAAGTAACCGGTTTTGCTCCCGCTATTCAGACTTCAACGGAAGATTTAATTTAAATTAAAAACACAGAAAATGTACAATAAAAAGGAACTGTGGATGTGAAAAAAATGAGCACAAGGAGATCGAGACAAATGACAGCGGGCCCCAACTCACGTTGTTTACACAAGGAAGGCTTGTGAGAACCGATGTAAAGTGCCTCCAATACCTTCAGGTGAAATAAAGAGTGAGACCGGGACAACACGG